CTGGAATGGGCCGGACCGGACTGGTAACACACCCCAGTACCTCTCGCCGTGCCTCTACACCTTCCATCCCCTCTTCGACCAGTGGCCCCCGTAACCTGGCGGCCTCCTCTGCCAACCCGCTGGGCCGCGGTCTCCTGCTGGCCCGTCGTCCACGGCGTTAGCCCCCCCCTAAAAAATTTCTGGGCGTCTCTCCTACCCGTGGACCAGGTCTCCATGTCCCTCGCATATTTATTTATATAATGATCACACGATCAAAAACAACAAAACGATAACGTGACAGTCAATGGTCAAACACAAACCAACACGAACAAGAAACCACAATGAATGAATGCCTAACGGCTACCTAAGTATGACTCCCAATCAGAGACAACGAGCTACAGCCGTCTCTGATTGGGAGCCACCCTGGCCAACATAGAATTAACAACAACTAGAACCAACACACATGAAAACTCACACCCTGGCTCAACATACTAGAGTCCCCAGAGCCAGGGCGTGACATAGTGGGTTCGATACCCGGGACCACTCATACACAAAAATGTATGCACGCGTGACTGTAAGTCGCTTTGGATAAAAGCGTCTGCTAAATGGCTTATTATTATAAAAGAGGATTATGGGAGTGGGAATATTCAGTGTCACTTTATCTTAGCATTGACATTAATTGTAGCCAAACTAAAATATTACACTTTGGGCTGAATGATCTTAAATGCTGAAAACTGTCCCTCATGATTTCACTCTGTAAAATAATATCCCTTTAAAACAAAGCTTTGCCTCAGATAGGTCATAGTGACATAGTCAATGGATATTCAGTATGGGGACCCTTGTACTATTGTACAAAATCTTTCTGTCTCTATATCCATTCTACTTCCAAACCGCCTCAACCTGGCGTAGAGGAGAGGGATTCAGGCTGTGCCATTACAGTACATCACAGACCATATACATCTGTCCTATTCATTATTACAGTAGTAGGTCATAGTGTGTAGTTGTGGAAATGCAAAAGGGATGTACACTGTGCACACCGTAGCAAAACGTTTCACAAGGGAAAACGAAGAGATGAGGCAAAGGTCCAGGCCATCCCTCCCCGTTTCAGCCTGAGTTGGTTCCTAGTGAATACTACCCAGTGCATCCCTCTTGCGTTTCCATAGCTACACACTATGACATACTGTAATTGTACATGATAAAAGTTATCAGATATCATTAGTATAACATAACTGTAGCACTGCCGTGACATCACAGTAGTTAAAGCAAGTTTCACCTTAACCAGTCGGTGGAATCTCCTTTCTATGATCACGCTTTTTAGAAACGCAATGTCCTCATTTCTGTCCATTATAGATTTCATCCCAGAGATCACCAAGGACAGCAGTTCAAACACACCTGGAACAAAGGAGAGAAGAGTTAAATACACACACACACACACAGCGGTGTAAAGTACTTAAGTACAAATACTTTAAAGTACTACTTAAGTAGTTTTTGGGGGTATCTGTACTTTACTTTACTATTTATGTTTTTGCCAACTTTTACTTTTACTTCACTACATTCCTAAAGAAAATAATGAACTTTTTACTCCATACATTTTCCCTGACACCCAAAAGTACTCATTACATTTTGACAGGAAAATGGTCCAATTCACACACTTATCAAGAGAGCATCCCTGGTCATCCCTATTGCCTCTGATCTGGCGGACTCACTAAACACAAATGCTTTGGAGTGTTGGAGTGTGCCCCTGGCTATCCGTTAATTTAAAAAACAAGAAAATGGTGCCGTCTGTTTTGCTTAATATAAGGAATTTTAAATGATTTATACTTTTACTTTTACTTTTGATACTTAAGTACATTTGAGCAATTCCGTTTACTTTTGATACTTAAGTATATTTAAAACCAAATACTTTTAGACTTTTACTCAAGTAGTATTTTACTGGGAGACTTTCACTTTTACTTGGGTCATTTTCTATTAAAGTATCTTTACTTTTACTCAAGTATGACAATTGAGTACTTTTTCCACCACTGCACACACACACACACACACACACACACACACACACACACACACACACACACACAGATGCAGTCCACCTGCATTTACAAGAGGGTCAGTGGGAGGGTCATAAATAACCAGTCAGAGCAGAGGACAAGGTCAGGGGTCATGAGGGAGGAGTCAAACGGTGTCAGAGGTCAAACCAAGGGTGTGGTGAAAACATCAACTAGGGGAGCCCATGTAAGGCATTCCCAAACAGACCATCTTACACATCTACATGTCTTCCTTTCCTTTACACACACACTGGTCTAGTCTGACTTCTGGGGAAATGATTCATGCTGTGCAGGTCACTGTCAGACAAACACACACCTCCAAATGTACCTCCTTGTCCAGTACAAAGACTCAGCAGACACCTTGTCTGTGGAAAGATAGTATTGTGAGAATGTTGATATCTGCATGCAGCAGTGACATTTGGCTGTATTTACTCATCCCTTTATTTTCTATCAAGGAAAGTATTTTTTAGAATTATCAATCGTCTGCCTCACAAATGTATTAGATATGTACTGGTTGACCTACTTGGATAGCGGCAGTGGCTGGCACGTCATCCTAAACAAAGGACTACAGAATTAGGATCTAACCTAGTATCAGAGATTACATTTACTGGTGCATAAGGTGAACCTGTCTTGTTCTGTGGAGTCTCAGTCTCAGATATTTAATTAAGTGTCCGACAATCTTTAAGGAGTAGAAAAAGGAAAGAAAACAGCTGTGGTCCGAAAACGTGTTCCGTTGTATGGTATTGCTGCCACCAAGTGGATAAGATAGGCTATGACATGTCCAGTTGCACAGTCCAAATAGGGTAACACTCACCAGAGAGAAGGTGAGGGTCCATTTGAACATACACATGCAAACAGAATGAGAGACAAACACACAGTAAAAGCAATCAGAGCCAGTCTGAACCAGACAGTATTAGCCCAATGCGACTTTCACCAGTTTCCCTCCACATACAAGTTTCCCCATTAGTTGTATATCGTTGGTTCCTTTGGATCTGAGTGAACTAGACCAGGCATTGGTCATCAAGGCCAGATAAAGGGATGGTCTGATGTCTCCTCACCATTAGGCCTATACAGACAGACAGAACAAGGATACAGAAAGACCGCATCGGTCCAGATCAGTAGGCTATCCAGGACAGGGTCAATCAAAAAATAGTATATCAGGGCAGCGTTCTTACTGGTACTGAAGGGCCAGTGTATGTGGCCTTTTGTCTCAGCCTAGTGCTGCGAAATTAAATTAACTAGCAAGACTTTGATTTGCAAGAATGGGTAGTGCTGTGCACAGCACTTGGACGAATGGAAACCACTAGGGTAGCAGCAAGGGGTTGATTTATCATTCTGTAATGTTGCATTGGGCCCTATGAGAGTTGTTTACTTTAGACTATCTGCCATACTGGGCAGGGCAGGAGCAGGTGCAAAGACCTACCACTTTTTATCATCTAATTTTATTTGACATGCACATTCTCATTTAGGTGGGCTTTGTTGTTATTTCAACCACTGTAATTCCTCCGTGTCCACCTATCTAGGTGAGACAGTTATTTGTGAGACTGCATTGCAAATCATCGATTAGCTAAAGGGTTTGCGAACCTTTGTCGACATAGGAGTATCCCGGAAATAGCTAAGTGCGTGGAGGCGGGGCTGATCTCATTGCTACGCCTGTTTCCTTTCACTGGCACTGCACAGAAGAGATTGTGCAGTTTAGGCGAGCAAATAATGGACCAAAGGCCTTTTTCAACATAGTGTAGCTATCTACTGTGTAAATTTAGTTGCTGGCTTCCCAGCTGGCTAACTAAATACCGAGACATCACCAAGATCAATTAACTGAAGACGAGAATAATATTTTGTTGTCCGTAGTTCACCCCCTCGCACACACACATCAACACGGCATTGATGGTAATGCATACAAGGAAACAACCGAGACTCAGCGATGGGTAAACGACAATACATTTTGTCACTTCTCTTTGACAGCTCTACCATTCCCTTGAAATAATCATGTTAGCTATGTAGCTAAGTGATTAATTTATCTAGCTAGTTACAACTAGCTAACTACTTTGTCGCTAGGTAACTACGTTAGTTAGCTAACGTTAATAGCTACAGTAGCTAACTAGCTAGGATAATATTTTTGCAGCATCAACATTTCAAATCTGTACCTATAACTTGGCTAAATTTGTTTTCCTATATTTCAGGTGTAACGACCGAAGGGATTCACAACCCAATCAGGTAAAGCAAGTGAATATAGCACGCTAGCTAGCAAGTGTGTGAGCTAGCTAACATAGCCAGCTAGCTAACTAACGTTAACTCGTAAGCTAGGCAGGCCTTCGCCTGGCTTTAGTTTTGCAACTCACAAGCCAGGGCTCAGAATTTTCCAAATTACTTAACGTTAGTGAACACAAGTTGGGCTACAAGTAGTTAGTTAAATTACCTAGCTAATAATGTTAAACAATAACTAATAGTTAACCAACTAGCTAGCTGCCGACTGTATTTCCCCTGACGTAACATTAGCTAACTAGCCAGCTAGTCGTTAGCCAACTAACGTTAGCTAGTTATGTTTATTTTTACGAGATAAATAGCTAGCTAGTTAGCTTAAATACAGTCCTTGATAATAGCCAGTTAGATAGCCAATGGAGCATAACCATCTCTTATGTTAGCTATATATCTTGATAGTCTGAATACTGCATAAAGGATGGATTTATTAACCATCTTAACTAGCTCGATGCGTAAAATGGCTCTAAAATTGCAGTATGATAAATGTAGACAAAAATAAGTGGGATAAGGAAGCTAGTTAGCTAGCTGTGCAAGAAAAAACGTTACAAAAGGTTGTGCGTACATAGCTAGGCAGGAATTAAAAGTACAGCACAATCAATGTCAGGAGAGAAGTAGGCCTACAGTATCATGTGTCAGTGGTTGGAAAGGTGTTCATCCAAAAATAGTTAACTTTGTATTGCTGTGTTGACTGACACTAGCCTATTTGTATTGCAGACCCACAAATCCCAGCCCAAGAGTCAATCTACCACCCTTCACCGTCACGATAAAATGCGAGATGGTTTGTCAGATCCTACACCACCATTCAAAATGCTCCGGCACTCAGATGAAAGTCCAGTCAATAAGCACAGTGATGGACACAGCAAAACAAAAACATTTCACACACTCCGAGGCCAAGATGGTGGTAAGCCCAAAGAGAACCTAGTTACACACATACAGAAGATGGTATTTTCTCTGTATATTTGTCAACAGTACTTTGCATTTTGTAGCGTGGTTGTGCACAGAGAAGCTTGCTTTGATTAGCCAGTTCAGATATCCTAGCCTGGTCCTAGATCTGTTTGTGCTGGTTAGCCATTTCCTGTGGGCCTTGTTATGCCAAACAACCCTAAGAGTTGGCCATACAGCACCACCATATCTGGGACCAGGCTAGAAATAGCATACATCAAACTGTTGATATACACTGTTAATTGGGCTATTGAAAGCTCTTGGACTACTTCCCCACACATGACACCTGCTCAAAGCGTACATAGCTACTTGAGGACAACAAGAAGTTGAGTCTGTAAGGCCCAATTCACGACTGAAGATATCCACACACCACTGTTGGTCAAGGCTATACACAGACATCAATGCAAGATTAACATAAGTTATGTTGCTGAAGTTCCACAGGGGCTTTATTTTAGCTAGTTAACTTGTCGTTGTCTTGTCAAATGAGAAAGTATTGTAGAATGCTGAAACCGCCGTGCACCTACCTAGGCTAGCTACATTGGTATGATTCTCTTGCGCACTAAAGTATACATGGTACGTCATGAAATGGAAAACTGCTGTAAATTCCATGGTACTGCAAACATATTTTGTTTAATGGATGGGGGGTAGCCTAATCTGTCATGTCTATGGTTGCTAATTGTGTGGTATTTTATTTTATTTTTGGCATTTAGCAGACGCTCTTATCCAGAGCGATTTACAGTTAGTGAGTGCATACATTATTATAATAATTTTTTCATACACCAGGCTGTGGTTATAAAACATCATGGGCCTCTGAGTCACAGGACAAGCTCAGCGACTGCTTTGGTCATATACATTGATATTTTAATTTGTAGTCATTGTTTACAGTTCAGTTTCGTGTGACAAATGATCTCAATCGGCTCTGTCCGGATATTGTGTAGAGGATGATTGTTCTCTGGTGTTTTGTCTTCATCGTAAGTGTTCTTGTAAATGTTCCCAACATATCGTTTCTTTTAAAGGGCCCAGCTGCTCTCCGCAAGAGAATTCTCACAACCACAGCTCCAACTTGCACTCAAATCAAACCAAGGCGTCAGACACAGTAAGATACTTCGTTTTTTCTTGAACAAATGATTTCTGAAAGTAGGCATCCACCAGGCTGTGGTTATAAAACATCATGGGCCTCTGAGTCACAGGACAAGCTCAGCGACTGCTTTGGTCATATACGTTTATATTTTAATTTGTAGTCATTGTTTACAGTTCAGTTTCGTTTGACAAATGATCTCAATCGTCTCTGTCCGGATATTGTGTAGAGGATGATTGTTCTCTGGTGTTTGTCTCCATCCATCCTCAAGAAGTTGATGATGAGAATATGTCCTTAAAAAAAAAAAAATCCCAGCACACTGCAGTTTTAGCCAACATTCACAACCAGAAACAAACCCCTCCCCTCATCTGCAGAGAAACAATGGACTAGAGTTACTTTCTCATTGAGTAATCAGCCCCTGGAACTGAAGGGTTAGCTCAGCATGCACTTGTGTCAAGAAATTACCGGATGAATGCCTCTGAGCCTGGCCCAGTAGCCAAGTAAAACTGCTAGCCTTGTTGGGCACGTCCTCCTAGCCCCAGCTGTAAATCTCAGGGTTGGCAGGGTAACACAGATATGCAGCGTTTCAGCGTATAGGCATACCCCCCCCCGACAACCACATAGCGTTTCAGCATATAGGCATACCCCCCCCCCCCCGACAACCACATTTGACTGAGGAGGCAGACTAGCCTAAATAGTGTGCAGGATCAGCTTGCTTTTATCAACAGCGCTAGGGCTATAGGCTCACTTCCTGTATTTACATCTGGAAGTGAGAAAAGGCTCACAATGGCCGTAAAGAGACTTGAGGCCTTAAAACATTGCTTTATTGTATTCAAAATATTTGTGTCTTAACTCCAAATAAGGTTAAAGTGTTATTCCCCCCCCCCCCCCCCCAATATAAACCATAGAATGGTTCTAAGTATGAGAAGCCCAACATTAGGCCTAATACTTTATTGAGCAAGGACCCCCCCACACCGGATTTCACATTGGAATCTGATTACTAGCCACTAGCCTTTACCCTGACTTTCCAAATGTAGGCCTACTTGAACCGAATGTCTGTGCACTCTGCTAAACCTACCCTAGTGTTAGTTAGTTAGTTAACCTATTTGTCGCGCCTTCTTCCCTCAGCCTCACGAGCCTGCAGACGACTGGTCGGAGCACATCAGCTCCTCGGGCAAGAAGTACTACTACAACTGCAGGACTGAGGTCTCTCAGTGGGAGAAGCCCAAAGACTGGCTGGAGAGGTAAGGAGTCAACTAATGGATAAACAGTCTCTCACTGGAGAGGGAAGGCCTCGACTAATGGATAAACAGTCTCTCACTGGAGAGGTAAGGACTCAACTAATGGATAAACAGTCTCTCACTGGAGAGGGAAGGACTCGACTAATGGATAAACAGTCTCTCACTGGAGAGGGAAGGCCTCGACTAATGGATAAACAGTGTCTCACTGGAGAGGGAAGGCCTCGACTAATGGATAAACAGTGTCTCACTGGAGAGGGAAGGCCTCGACTAATGGATAAACAGTGTCTCATTGGAGAGGGAAGGCCTCGACTAATGGATAAACAGTGTCTCATTGGAGAGGGAAGGACTCGACTAATGGATAAACAGTGTCTCATTGGAGAGGGAAGGACTCGACTAATGGATAAACAGTGTCTCATTGGAGAGGGAAGGACTCGACTAATGGATAAACAGTGTCTCATTGGAGAGGGAAGGACTCGACTAATGGATAAACAGTGTCTCACTGGAGAGGGAAGGCCTCGACTAATGGATAAACAGTGTCTCACTGGAGAGGGAAGGCCTCGACTAATGGATAAACAGTCTCTCACTGGAGAGGGAAGGCCTCGACTAATGGATAAACAGTCTCTCACTGGAGAGGGAAGGCCTCGACTAATGGATAAACAGTGTGTCACTGGAGAGGGAAGGCCTCGACTAATGGATAAACAGTCTCTCACTGGAGAGGGAAGGCCTCGACTAATGGATAAACAGTCTCACTCGTAAACATCATACTGTTCTCCTCTTTTCCCACAACTCTTCCGTTTCTACCCTAAAACTCAATACAGTCCAAAATGGCCGCGGGGGCCCAATACTACATTTCTGAACCTCATTTAATCGATTGAACTATAGCATGCTGAAAGGTCCCAAAACTCAGATTGGTAGAGTACACATTCTGACAGATGTCGGAAAATTAAATGAACACTCCCATACTGTATTCAACCAGCAGTTACGCTGTTTAATTAAAAGTAATCCTGACAATGAAATTCATTTTCTGTGTTTCGTTGTGTCCAGAGAGCTGAGGCAGAAAGACCCGTCTAAGAGAGAGTCCAACACGTTCCCTAAAGACCGGGACTACAGACGTGAGTCTGTGGACACAGCCACCACAAGTAAGTATGAAAACTACAAAGGAGGTGTGTATGGGAGTTGTTGTCTAGGATTCAGATACACTAACCACATCTGGATTTTGATGTATCTGCCTCTTTTAAATAATACTTTTTGTTGTTATAGTATGACTATAACTTTTGTGTGAAATCATCTTCATCTTCAGTCTTACAATATGGCCGTGTGTCGATGGTATGAAGTGACTTCATTTCCTTGTCCTCTCCTTCCTCTGCACTGATCTGAAAAGACTTGACAACTGTATGCGTTATGGCTATCACCTTTTCAATTAACAAAAAGGAGAGGAGGAAAGCAAGTCAGTGTGAACTACAGAGAGGTGCATCCTATACAGTGGGGAGAACAAGTATTTGATACACTGCCGATTTTGCAGGTTTTCCTACTTGCAAAGCATGTAGAGGTCTGTAATTTTTATCATAGGTACACTTCAACTGTGAGAGACGGAATCTAAAACAAAAATCCAGAAAATCACATTGTATGATTTTTAAGTAATTCATTTGCATTTTATTGCATGACATAAGTATTTGATACATCAGAAAAGCAGAACTTAATATTTGGTACAGAAACCTTTGTTTGCAATTACAGAGATCATACGTTTCCTGTAGGTCTTGACCAGGTTTGCACACACTGCAGCAGGGATTTTGGCCTACTCCTCCATACAGACATTCTCCAGATCCTTCAGGTTTCGGGGCTGTCGCTGGGCAATACGGACTTTCAGCTCCCTCCAAAGATTTTCTATTGGGTTCAGGTCTGGAGACTGGCTAGGCCACTCCAGGACCTTGAGATGCTTCTTACGGAGCCACTCCTTAGTTGCCCTGGCTGTGTGTTTCGGGTTGTTGTCATGCTGGAAGACCCAGCCACGACCCATCTTCAATGCTCTTACTGAGGGAAGGAGGTTGTTGGCCAAGATCTCGCGATACATGGCCCCATCCATCCTCCCCTCAATACGGTGCAGTCGTCCTGTCCCCTTTGCAGAAAAGCATCCCCAAAGAATGATGTTTCCACCTCCATGCTTCACGGTTGGGATGGGGTTCTTGGGGTTGTACTCATCCTTCTTCCTCCAAACACGGCGAGTGGAGTTTGACCAAAAAGCTCTATTTTTGTCTCATCAGACCACATGACCTTCTCCCATTCCTCCTCTGGATCATCCAGATGGTCATTGGCAAACTTCAGACGGGCCTGGACATGCGCTGGCTTGAGCAGGGGGACCTCGCGTGCGCTGCAGGATTTTAATCCATGACGGCGTAGTGTGTTACTAATGGTTTTCTTTGAGACTGTGGTCCCAGCTCTCTTCAGGTCATTGACCAGGTCCTGCCGTGTAGTTCTGGGCTGATCCCTCACCTTCCTCATGATCATTGATGCCCCACAAGGTGAGATCTTGCATGGAGCCCCAGACCGAGGGTGATTGACTGTCATCTTGAACTTCTTCCATTTTCTAATAATTGCGCCAACAGTTGTTGCCTTCTCACCAAGCTGCTTGCCTATTGTCCTGTAGCCCATCCCAGCCTTGTGCAGGTCTACAATTTTATCCCTGATGTCCTTACACAGCTCTCTGGTGTTGGCCATTGTGGAGAGGTTGGAGTCTGTTTGATTGAGTATGTGGACAGGTGTCTTTTATACAGGTAATGAGTTCAAACAGGTGCAGTTAATACAGGTAATGAGTGGATAACAGGAGGGCTTCTTAAAGAAAAACGAACAGGTCTGTGAGAGCCGGAATTCTTACTGGTTGGTAGGTGATCAAATACTTATGTCATGCAATAAAATGCAAATTAATTACTTGAAAATCATACAATGTGATTTTCTGGATTTTTGTTTTAGATTCCGTCTCTCACAGTTGAAGTGTACCTATGATAAAAATTACAGACCTCTACATGCTTTGCAAGTAGGAAAACCTGCAAAATCGGCAGTGTATCAAATACTTGTTCTCCCCACTGTATATCAAGCCAGTCTGAACTACAGAGAGGTGCATCCTACTACACTGCTCAAAAAAATAAAGGGAACACTTAAACAACACAATGTAACTCCAAGTCAATCACACTTCTGTGAAATCAAACTGTCCACTTAGGAAGCAACACTGATTGACAATAAATTTCACATGCTGTTGTGCAAATGGAATAGACGACAGGTGGAAATTATAGGCAATTAGCAAGACACCCCCAATAAAGGACTGGTTTTGCATGTGGTGACCACAGAACACTTCTCAGTTCCTATGCTTCCTGGCTGATGTTTTGGTCACTTTTGAATGCTGGCGGTGCTTTCACTCTAGTGGTAGCATGAGACGGAGTCTACAACCCACACAAGTGGCTCAGGTAGTGCAGCTCATCCAGGATGGCACATCAATGCGAGCTGTGGCAAAAAGGTTTGCTGTGTCTGTCAGCGTAGTGTCCAGAGCATGGAGGCGCTACCAGGAGACAGGCCAGTACATCAGGAGACGTGGAGGAGGCCGTAGGAGGGCAACAACCCAGCAGCAGGACTGCTACCTCCGCCTTTGTGCAAGGAGGAGCACTGCCAGAGCCCTGCAAAATGACCTACCAGCAGGCCACGAATGTGCATGTGTCTGCTCAAACGGTCAGAAACAGACTCCATGAGGGTGGTATGAGGGCCCGATGTCCACAGGTGGGGGTTGTGCTTACAGCCCAACACCGTGCAGGACGTTTGGCATTTGCCAGAGAACACCAAGATTGGCAAATTCTCCACTGGCGCCCTGTGCTCGCCAGAGGTAGCCTGACTGCCATTAGGTACCGAGATGAGATCCTCAGACCCCTTGTGAGACCATATGCTGGTGCGGTTGGCCCTGGGTTCCTCCTAATGCAAGACAATGCTAGACCTCATGTGGCTGGAGTGTGTCAGCAGTTCCTGCAAGAGGAAGGCATTGATGCTATGGACTGGCCCGCCCGTTCCCCAGACCTGAATCCAATTGAGCACATCTGGGACGTCATGTCTCGCTCCATCCACCAACGCCACGTTGCACCACAGACTGTCCAGGAGTTGGCGGATGCTTTAGTCCAGGTCTGGGAGGAGATCCCTCAGGAGACCATCCGCCACCTCATCAGGAGCATGCCCAGGCGTTGTAGGGAGGTCATACAGGCACGTGGAGGCCACACACACTACTGAGCCTCATTTTGACTTGTTTTAAGGACATTACATCAAAGTTGGATCAGCCTGTAGTGTGGTTTTCCACTTTAATTATGAGGGTGACTCCAAATCCAGACCTCCATGGGGTTGATAAATTTGATTTCCATTGATACTTTTTGTGTGATTTTGTTGTCCGCACATTCAACTATGTAAAGAAAAAAGTATTTAATACGATTATTTCATTCATTCAGATCTAGAATGTGTTATTTTAGTGTTCCCTTTATTTTTTTGAGCAGTGTATATATATCAAGTCAGTCTGAACTACAGAGAGGTGCATCCTATATATCAGTCAGTCTGAACTACAGAGAGGTGCATCCTATATATCAAGTCAGTCTGAACTACAGAGCGGTGCATCCTATATATCAAGTCAGTCTGAACTACAGCGAGGTGCATCCTATATATCAAGTCAGTCTGAACTACAGAGAGGTGCATCCTATATATCAAGTCAGTCTGAACTACAGAGCGGTGCATCCTATATATCAAGTCAGTCTGAACTACAGAGCGGTGCATCCTATATATCAAGTCAGTCTGAACTACAGCGAGGTGCATCCTATATATCAAGTCAGTCTGAACTACAGCGAGGTGCATCCTATATATCAAGTCAGTCTGAACTACAGAGAGGTGCATCCTATATATCAAGTCAGTCTGAACTACAGAGAGGTGCATCCTATATATCAAGTCAGTCTGAACTACAGCGAGGTGCATCCTATATATCAAGTCAGTCTGAACTACAGAGAGGTGCATCCTATATATCAGTCTTGTTCTTCCTTTCCCTCCACAGAGAGTACTTCAGGGGACAAGTCGTCCTCCAGCTCTACTCCTTCCCAGTCCTCTTCCTCCGCCAATCCGGGCCTGAACCAAGCCTCTGGCTCTAACCCCACCCCCTCCTCTTCCTCCTCCATGGTCCCCGTGTCCCCCTCTGTCCAATCCCAGGCCTCTGGCCTGCTCCAAGACCCCGCCCTCCTGCGGCAGCTCCTCCCAGCGCTGCAGGCCACCCTGCAGATGAGCAATGGCAGCATGGACATGGCCAAGATCAACGAGGGTGAGTCGCCAACACCGCATTTCTCCTGCTTGATCTTTAGCAGACCTGGGTCCAAATAGCTTATTGGTTTAAAAGGGAAACTCTGGAGTATGATGTCATTGTTATATCTATAGATGTAGCATAGCTATTGATAAAAGCCTTCGCTATTCTGAAATGTGAAACACACATTTGGATTCTCTGATGTCTGGAGTTATCATATGACGACAAAGCCAGTGGTTTTGGCTTCAGAAGGGACTTTACATAGCAGGTTAAGAGAGAACGCAGCAGGTAGGATAGAGCTGGTTGGAGAGGGGTTAGGGGGAGAGCTGGTGAGCTAGAGACGTTAGGAGCGACGCAGCAGTTAGGAGAGCTGACGCAGCAGGTTAGGAGAGCTGGGCTGGTTAGGAGAGCTGGTTAGGAGAGCTAACGCAGCAGGTTAGGAGCTGACGCGCATGTTAGGGAGCTACTGTAGGAGGCGGTTAGGAGAGCTGACGCTGCGGTTAGAGGCTAAGCAGGTTGGAGAGCTGCCGATCAGCAGGTTAGGAGAGCTGACGGCAGCATGGTTAGGAAGCTAGCATAGGTTAGGAGAGCTGACGCAGCAGGTTAGGAGGCTGACGCAGCTGTTAGGTTAGGAGAGCTGGTTAGGAGAGCTAACGCAGCTGGTTAGGAGAGCTGACGCAGCTGGTTAGAACTGACGCAGCTGTTAGGAGAGCTGACGCAGCAGGTTAGGAGAGCTGAACGCAGCAGGTTAGGAGAGCTGACGCGTGGTTAGGAGAGCTGACGCAGCAGGTTAGGAGAGCTGACGCAGCAGGTTAGGAGAGCTAACGCAGGTTAGGAGAGCTGACGCAGCAGGTTAGGAGAGCTGACGCAGCAGGTTAGGAGAGCTAACGCAGCAGGTTAGGAGAGCTAACGCAGCAGGTTAGGAGAGCTAACGCTGCAGGTTAGGAGAGCTAACGCAGCTAAAGCAGCAGGTTAGGAGAGCTAACGCAGCAGGTTAGGAGAGCTAACGCAGCAGGTTAGGAGAGCTAACGCGAGGTGAAGTTAGGAGAGCTAAGCACAGTTGAGAGCTAACGCAGCAGTTAGGAGAGCTAACGCAGCAGGTTAGGAGAGCTAAAGCAGCAGGTTAGGAGAGCTAACGCTGCAGGTTAAGAAAAGGGTTAGAATTAGCTAAAAGACTACAGTTGTCCGCGACTCGAACATGCAACTTTTGGTCCGTAGCTGTACTCCATCTAGCAACAATCGTTTAGATTCTGAGTGATATTTCAGAAGACATCCCATTTGGTTTGGTTTCTAGAGTTTCTCTTACTCTGACAGGAGCAGATATTGAATAGGCTTAATTCATCATATCGAGATTTAGGGAGCAACTCAATTGAGGGGAGGGGTTGGTGGGTCCTATTCCTGTGGATGGGCGATCCTGAGAAAATCGTTTCTCACCGACCACATGGGTTAGAAATATAAAATAATCTCATTAAACTGCCCATTCAATGACAGTTTTGCATAGCCTATATCCCTCAAACTCAACTCTGGACCTCCAAGCCAGTTCTACTGCATGTTTTCATTGTTCCCCTTTAATCAGGGACTGATTTAGACCTGGGACACCAGGTGTGTGCAATTAATTATCAGGTAGAACAGAAAACCAGCAGGCTCCGGACCTCGTAGGGTAAGAGTCCGATATCTAGTCTGTTCACCTCTTTTCTACAATTGCTTATTGTATAACGCTGCCTTTGAAAAGCACTGTCACTCAATAACCCGTCTCCTCCTCTCTTGATATTTATCTATGTGTATGGACCGGTCTCTGTGTGTTGCATACATAACACGTTTATGGGTGCCTGTATCTGTGGGTATGTTTCTCATTGTCCCGTGTGTGTTTCCCCCCCCCTCTCCTCCAGTCCTCGCGGCTGCTGTTACCCAAGCTTCCTTGCAGTCTATGCTTCATAAACTCCTCATCGCTGGACCGTCTGTGTTCAACATCACTGCTCTTCTTTCCCAAGCTGCTCAACACTCCAACCAAGGTATGGCCGCTGTCATCCCCATCACCTCTCTGTTAGCTAGACTGCTTTTACTCTAGTCCTTTCAGTGTCTCATGGTTGATATATACATTACGCTCTGACATTACAATTCTATTCAGATAGAAATACATTGTGAGGATTCTCCTATTGAATGTTTTCAGGGTAGCCGTTATTGTTGAAAGCTTTAACTGAAGATTTGACCAATAGAGTGGCGCAGTGGTCTAAGGCACTGCATCGCAGTGCTAGCTGTGCCACTAGAGATCCTGGTTCGTAATCCAGGCTCTGTCGTAGCCGGCCGTGACCGGGAGACCCATGGGGCGGCGCACAATTGGCCCAACGTCGTCCAGGGTAGGGTAGGGGAGGGAATGGCCGGCAGGGATGTAGCTCAGTTGGTAGAGCATGGCGTTTGCAACGCCAGGGTTGTGGGTTCGATTCCCACGGGGGGCCAGTATGAATTTTTTTTTGGGAAAAAAATAATGTATGCACTCACTAAATGTAAGTCGCTCTGGATAAGAGTGTCTGCTAAATGACAACAAAAAAATATATATCTCTCAAGAAGATGTATGGGCATCCTTCAGTTCAGGGCAACCAACGTCTGGTAGTTTGTTGAATAATCTATCAAACTTTTGCTATTGATGTATTTAACCAGGGTTGTCCTCTAAGCAAAGATAGCCACTGCTGTTCATTTAAAGTTTTGGATGCATAAGAAAAAAGCAACTTTTAGAATGACTTATGTCCTTATAGGCGTATATGTATAATGTAGTAATACCCTTTGTGTATGTGAGATGAAGGCTGTTCGTATTAAACATAGTACCTTCTTTGTCTTATTCCCCTCCTGGACACGAACCAATAGCGGCCCTGCAGGCAAGTCAGTCGCCCATATCGCTAACGTCGGACGCCTCCTCGCCCCGCTCATACGTGTCGCCCAGGAACGGCACGCCCCAGACCAACGTCCTTACCCAGAAACCCCTGCTCAGCATGCCTCCCGCCTCCTCCCAACCAAAGGTCTGCGCCTCCACGGAAACTGGAAACTTGTCATTTTAACCCTGTGATCTCAGTGTATCTCTTCCTCCCCCACCTCACCGCTCTTATCACCGTCCTCCTCTGCTCTCTTCTCCTTCCCTCTTTCTTGCTTTCATTTTTCTTATTTTGTCCCTCTGCAGGTTACCCCAGTGAAACCAGGACCAGTTTCTCAGCAGGCTTCAGCAGAGAAACGTCCAGAGGACCCCCGAACTCTCCAACAGCGGAGGTAGTTTGAAATTCGTGGAATGGTTCTTAGTAGACACGCAACATTTACTTGTATGCTCCCAGAATATAAACAGCCTTATGAAATGGAAGTACAGCAATCCTGTTTGTATCCTTGTCAGAAGAATAGTATCACTGGTTGAGTGTCTTTTTTTTTTTTTTGTGGACAAACGTCCTTACGCGTAATGTCACCTACCTTTTGTGTCCCTGACCTAGTTGAGACGTAGAGGCACTTGTCTATATCCTGAAGGATTGTTTATATATGGGTAGTAGCAACTTATCCAATCCTTTCCAATCAAAACAGGTGTCTAGGTGTTAGACTAGAGGTTGTTTCTGGATGGCGCTATATTCTGTTTCCTCCTGGTCCTTATACTTCTCTGCTGTCTCTGTCGTCCAGCATTCAGGGGAGTCCACCACCAGGACCTAACGCCACCGGCGGCCACTCGGTTCCCAACGCAGCCTCAGCCCTGACCAGCACTTCTGGCTCCTTCACTCCCTCGCTGGCCTCTCACTTTGACGAGAACCTCATCAGGCACATCCAGAACTGGCCCGCCGAGCACATCGAGAAGCAGGTAGGGCCTCCACTGTGAAGTGGGACAATGGGTTGCTCATTCAATGTTGAGTTAGTTGTTTAGAAAGGAATTGTCATGCTCTACTCAAAAGTTTGTAGTAGAATAAAGTATTTGGGTGCACAATGGGATGCTCGACGTAAGTGAATGTCGAGTTAGGAGTTTTTCCTGTCTGTGTGTCTGTCAACTATATGACCAATCGGTTAAATACAGTCATCATCAAAATTATACCACACTGTGTGGATATAACCGTGATACACAGAAGTTGCTACTGTTGAATTAAGACTTGGACTAGTCATGCTTTGATGTTAGTAGGATATATGCATGTAATTGAGTTGTGTGCGTATTAATACGTAAAGGCAATTTATATTGCATTTAGTGTAGACAGCACTACCATACAATCAAAATTCGTAGATGGCAGTAGCTACACTTTCAACGCCACTCGGGTAACTTCCTGTTTGGAGTTGATTGAAAAGGCACAGCACTCTTTTCAGTTTTGATGAAAAAAAAAACTGGGTTGCACCTCGTTGGTTGAGCACCCTCCACTTCTTCCCTGTTTGGAGTTGATAAAATAAAGGGCGTGGCTAGCTCGCTCACTCTTTGGTTTGGGATGCCATGTGGTAGTGGGATACTGTCATTTGGTTTGCTGCTGCTAATGGAGACCTGGTGGACAGATGAGGGAACCAAATCCCTTTGATGGACGTTTTTTTTAGTTGTAGTCAATATTTAGCACTCGCCTCTACTACAATGAGCTGAACTAACAAACCACGCTGGGGCTGGAGAGGGTGAGCTGCCTGCCCCGGCACACTGGCAAGACATGCCCACTTAAACTTTTGCACACATTTATAGAAGGTTATGGAACCATTAGGCAGAACTAGGACCCTAGACAATGTGAGCGTAGGCTTTTTGGTAGTCTGACTGACCAGTAGTAAAATACATTTCCTTCTGAAGAAAGCTGACTTTTTTTCCTCTCCCTTTTTTCTATTGAGATTTGACCTCAATACTTAAATGTTCATGAGTTTGACTTCGGTAAGACAAACGTAGCAAATGTTAACTACGGAGTCCATTTAACTGTGCTGTGCTGGATTAGCTGGTATAGCCAAGAGAAAGGTGAGTCCCATGAAAATAAGATAATCTGCACCCTCTCTCCCATCATCTTCACAAGGACGCAATTAATAGTGCCGCCTTTCTCTTTCAGGCAGCACGGTTACGGGAGGATGCCCACAACATGGGCAGTCTCCACATGTCCGAGATCTGCACCGAACTCAAAAACCTCCGATCTTTAGTCAGAGTGTGTGAGATCCAGGCCACACTGCGGGAACAAAGGTAAGAAAATGACAGACACACACTAGGAATGCGTCTTCACGATACGTTGTTTATTTTCTTAAAACTGTCCCTTTCTATCTCCCGCTTTCTACCAGAATACTGTTCCTGAGACAGCAGAGCAAAGAACTGGACAAGCTGAAGAACCAGAACTCTTACATGGTCTGAGAACCTGTGTGGGGAGACAAAGGATGGTGAACCGCTTTAGGCTGCGGTCGGTGAACCGCTTTAGGCTGCCCCATGTGCCCCAGTCTGAACACTTCCGTACCGTCATGAACCAGAGGGCGAGTGAGGATACGGACAAGAGACTGGGCCTGTTGAAGACGTCATGGGTCACGCAATGAAGCTTACCACTGCCCAAGCCCCCGAAAGTGTAGATTTCGTCTAGGCGTCCAAGATGTAAATTGTTCTATGAAACCGCAGGCTAAAAGATTACAGAAGCCTTGTTGAGGTTTTCATGGACACCCAAACCAGTGGATTCTGAGGAACCTGCAGGTTATACATTCTTGTTACCTGATAAACTCGGCTGGCGCCCTTTGGATTTGGACTGTGTTTGTTGCGCTGGATAGCCAGTTTTGGTTGGGAATGCATCTTTTTCTCCTCAGACTTGTGGCTTAACTGAAGTTGAGAGTGAACTGAGTGGACTCTGATTGGCTTGAGATGTATGAATCGCCAACTGAATCCAGGAAGACTCAAACGCCAACACTTCTTCAGCATAGACTTGAAGGGCATTGCAGATAAGATATTAACCAGCCTGCAGGTTAACAGCATATTTTTAAAAGCCAACTTTATGATTCCTTCCAGACTCATATAGTTGCTTCTATTCAGTGAGGAATCCTGAATTTAGCAGTCTCAGTTCGCTGAGAACTTTTAAAAAATGTGAGCTGACAAAGATTCTTAGCTGCTTGATGGGAGTTGTCTGTCGGTCCACGCTCCCTCCCCCCTGGATGGGAGTAGTCTGTAGACTTACTTACCTGTGACCCCTCTGACGTTGGGCCAGGAGACTTCTCAGAACATACTGCCCCATGGCGTAACCTTTAGGTCACCTTCCAAGTCCCTATCACGAACCCCCCCCAATGGGATCCTACGATAAAGGGCAACATTCTCATCGTCCATGACCTCTGAATACCCTCAGAAGCGCACCTGCATCAGAACCTCCATTTGATCTGTAGTTGATCATTTTTTCCCCCTCCGCTGAACTTTGATGTTTTTGTTTTGTAAGCTTCTCTGTTTTGTCTGCATCTTGAGTCTGCAAAATAATTCATTCCTTATGTGCAGTTTCTCTTGAGATTGTGAAAGGGTCTTTAGTTTCACGTGGTTATGTAAACCTAAATTATTGTTGCACATTATTAATTGCGTCCTTGTGAAGATGATGGGAGAGAGGGTGCAGATGATCTTATTTTCATGGGACTCACCTTTCTCTTGGCTATACCAGCTAATCCAGTACAGCACAGTTAAATGGACTCCGTAGTTAACATTTGCTACATTTGTCTTACCGAAGTTAAACTTTTTTTAGGCCTCAGTAATTAAACGTAACTATTTTACACGATAATGCTGTCTCACTCTTTCATATCCACAGACTTAGCTACTCCCTCCTCCTCAGACCCCTTCGATCAATCAGTGACATACTGTAATTGGGAAGGTGCTGGCCAAATCCTTGGTCTTCAGAGCTGGAGAACGCACTTATCTGATAGTGGGGGATCATAGGTTTTTGTGAGGATGGGGCGACCATAGCTTTGTGTATTTCTTAAAAGTATATGAGAATAAAATACATTATTCTATCACGTCTTTTGATATTCTCATTTTTGCCTGTTGGCTATCACTGTTATCACTCGATGTTTGCAGTGAAGCAGATGCATTATTCCAGAGTTGGTGAGTTCAAAACACTACCTTGCCTCCAACTGAAAAAGCTGCTGACAAAGCAGAATGTCACTGACTACTGTAATGTGTAAACATGTTTGTCATTTAATGTGATTGCTCCCATTAATTCAGCATATTGGTAATGCTGCAAACAGAAGAAGCACAGTTGCGCTAGTTTAAATGACATGATGCTCAATTGCTCCCTTCGATGGACACAAGATGGCGATATTCAGCTTGCAATAGCAATGACCTTGTCTTTCACATTTGTCTCCTAGATTCCCTTGGAGGCTTTTAATTTACACTGAACAAAAATATAAACGCAACATGTAAAGTGTTGGTCCAATGTTTCATGAGCTGAAATAAAACATCCCAGATATGTTCAGCTGCGCACAAAAAGCTTATTTTATTCAGATTTCGTACACAAATGTGTTTACATCCCTGTTAGTGAGCATTTCTCCTTTGCTAAGATAAATCCATCCACCTGACAGGTGTGGCATATCAAGAAGCTGATTAAACAGCATGATCGTTACTCAGGTGCACAATAAATGGCCACACTAAAATGTGCAGTTTTGTCACACAACACTATGCCACAAATGTCTCAAGTTTTGAGGGAACGTACAATTGGCATGCTGACTGCAGGAATGTCCACCAGAGCCTTCAACGTGGTTTTAAAGAATTTGGCAGTACGTCCAACTGGCCTCACAACCGCAGACCATGTGTAACTATGCCATCCCAGGACCTCCACATCCGGCTTCTTCACCTGCGGGATCGTCTGAGACCAGCCACCCAGACAGCTGATAAAAATGGGTTTGCACAACCGAATAATTTCTGTACAGACTGTCAGAAACCGTCTCAGGGAAGCTCAACTGCGTGCTCGTCATCCTCACCAGGGTCTTGACCTGACTGCTGTTTGGTGTCGTAACCGACTTCAGTGGGCAAATACTCACCTTTGATGGCAACAGGCACGCTGGAGAAGTATGTTCTTCACGGATGAATCCCGGTTTCAACTGCACCGGGCAGATGGCGCCATGTGGGTGAGCGGTTTGTTGATGTCAACGTTGTGCACAGAGTGCCCCATGGTTTCTGTGGGGATATTGTATGGGCAGGCATAAGCTATGGACAACGAACACAATTGCATTTTATCAATGGCAAGTTGAATGCACAGAGATACCGTGACGAGATCCTGAGGCCCATTGCCATGCCATTCATCCGCCGCCATCACCTCATGTTTCAGCATTATAATGCACGGCCCCATGTCACAAGGATCTGTACACAGTTCCTGAAAGCTGAAAATGTCCCAGTTTTTCCATGGCCTGGATACTCACCAGACGTCACCCATAGAGCATGTATGAGATGGTCTGGATCAACGTGTACGACCGCGTGTTCCAGTTCCCACCAATAACCAGCAACTTCGCACAGCCACTGAAGAGGAGTGGGACAACATTCCACAGGCCACAATCAACAGCCTGATCAACTCTATGCGGAAGGAGATGTTGCGCTGCATGAGGCAAATGGTGGTCACACCAGATACTGACTGGTTTCCTAATCCATGCCAATACTTTTTTATTTATTTATTGCTGATAGCCACGTTATCAAACTGGGAGCTCATCACGTGGTTTGCATTGTGATGTTCTTCAGAATTTAGATGGGTGGTTTTATTCAGGAAATACAGTATGAATCCAATCAGTGGACTTCAGCAACTGGATACATACATGCATGAATAGTTCCCCTTTATTAAAGATGTGATGGTGGCTAAAGCAATGAATGTGAGATTCTTTCATAAGCATTTACAGTGCCTTCAGAAAGTATTAATACCCCCAGACTTACTCCACATTCTGCCGTGATATATTTAAGCCATAACAAAGGGGTTGAATATTTAATGACTCAAGACATTTAAGCTTTTAATTTTTTTATACATTTGTAAAAAGAAAATAGAAAAACAATTCCACTTTGACATTATGGGGTATTGTGTGTAGGCCAGTGACAAAACATTTCAATTTAATCCATTTTGAATTCGGGCTGTAAAAACAAAATGTGGAAAAAGTCAAGGGGTATGAATACTTTTTGAAGGCACTGCACATTCTTCACCAGCAATTGTGTATTTTCTACCAGTGTTATGGTAAGGAGCTATGGCATTTTAAGAGCACCATGATTTAAAAATTGTGAGGCATAAAAGACTCACGTTCACATTTCTACTGTTTCTGATCGTCACGATTGCATTCGAGAACCTTAGCAACATTACGATGAAATGGGTAACGACGTAGAACATGGAACAGGAGATGGGGCATTCATTTGCCAGTGGGTCCTTTATATGCAGGTAATAATAATAATATGCCATTTAGCAGACGCTTTTATCCACTACCTTGGCGTTACAAGCGCCGTGCTCTACCAGCTGAGCTACAGAGGACCACTGTTATGAACAGCATGGGGCGGCAGGTAGCCCAGCAGTTAATAGCGTTGAGCCAGTAACCGAAAGTTCGCTGGTTCGAATCCCAGAGCCGACTAGGTTAGAAATCTGTTGATGTGCCCTTCAGCAAGGCACTTAACCCTAATTGCTTCTGTAAGTCGCTCTGGACAAGAACGTTTGCTAAATGTAACTTCTGTCATTGTTGGTCTGTTTTCTTATCAATCAATGAGTGTCTGTCAACAAGAATACCAACACATAGGAAACCCTCACGCCGGTCATATAAACACTTGTTATATCAGTATTTGATATCACATCCCTGAACAAGGCAGTTGTCTCCACACATCCCCATAAGGCAGTTATTTCTCAGCACACATCTATTGCTACTGTGTGCCTGACTGTTTAAGTTGCCAAGAACAACATGATGTTGTTTCATTACTATTTAGTCTTAGCACGAAATACCCTCCAGAACGAAGATAGCTTAGTCCTAATTGGTCCACGAGCAAGTGATGCAATGTACATTGTCACCCATTGGCTCTAGAGCTGGAGGTGGATTACCTAGGTCACTTCTAGAAGCCACAGCGCACAGTACAGAAGTTTACACCGATCTCCAGTTTCTATTTCAGCCTCAGTGTTGGTATAGAGACGGGCACAGAGAAACGTCTGTGAGCAGGGTTTCATTAGAATGAAGATGTATTCAGTTTGGGGATTGCATCCGCCAATTAACTATATCCAATGTGAAAGATAACTGAATGTTGACATTGTACATGGCAACTTTTAGATTCTGTCTCTTTTCTCCGTAGAGTCGATATCCAAGTAAATATGATCATGATTCTTTTCGGCTAGGCGTAAGAGAGGGATGTAATTCCTCTTAGGAAGGTTGTATGGCCCTGGTCATCAAACCAGAAATAGGCTGTACATTTACATTTTCATTTTAGTCATTTAGCAGACGCTCTTATCCAGAGCGACTTACAGTTTTCATACTGGCCCCCCCGTGGGAAACGAACCCACAACCGTGGCGTTGCAAGCGCCATGCTCTACCAACTGAGCTACAGGGGACTATACTACTGACAAACCGTAACCGACTGGTCGGCTGAATGGGAGCCAGCAAATGTCCGAAGGGACACTTGCTCAAACCTGCCAACGTCCCTATTTTATCAGCAAAGCAAAACTCAGTTGCTAATCTTGTTTACAAACCACTATGACGCAAAATGGCTACCTGACAAAGAAAGCATAGCTGATTTCATTTTTACATTCGCCATAACACATACTATTATTTCACAGACACTGCCCACATATGATGTGACACTGCCATAAAGCCATCTAGTCCATAAGCTATTTATCTGTGCACAACCTATTTATTAAATAGTATATTAAATAAAGTATTGCGCTAGTAATGTCTCTTAAATGCTACAATCCAATAGATATAGAACCAAAATTTAGAACCAACATTTGAGAAGTTTAAAAATATTCAGAGCATCTTTTTGAAAATGTAATCCTGTAAGAAATAATGTATTACCCCTCCCCCCTCAGACTCCAGCCAATGGGCAATGTAGGCCTATAGAGCAGTCAGGAAAAAATATGATACCCTAGTCTACATATCTCCCTTTAAGACCAGCATAACCTCAGTATCTACAAAGTCCAACAGAGCGACGTCTCCTCCTAGCCTCTGACGCTCCCATGTCGGGATACAAAAGAAACCCGGAGAAGATGGAATCGTTGGTGTTGTCTGCATACACCCCCCCCCCCCAAAAAACTCCTTATCTCCATAGATCTGCAGCCACACCTCGTCCCCAGACACCAGCTTTCAGTATGATGGCCCCCCGAGGCCTGGTCCACATTGCCCTCGTGGTACTGGTCATAGGTGAACATGACGGGCTTGTCATTCTTGAACAGGCTCACCCGAGAATCTTTTGGTGTAGACGGTGAGGTGGTACGTGACGAAGTAGATCCCGGGGAGGGAGCAGTGGAACTTTCGTAGTGCCGCTGCTCGTTGTGGAATAATTAGTTGAAGTGGATGGGCACGTTGGTGGCGGGGACGGGATCTGTCAGGCCCACGCTGAAAGAAGAGTGATACGACAGGGGCGCTCTCGCTCTGCGCCCCCCTTTAGACCAGGGTTGCCCGGGAAACTACGAGGACCAGGAGGGCCGTTGTCGCCCTTCTCGCCGGGCTCTCCCTTCTCACCTGGTTCACCTGTACACACAGAGACCAGAGTCAGGGAGGACTCCGATGTCTGTATTGATGGTAATTGACTGTGCCTCATGGATAAAATGACAGGTAAGTCATTGCGGGTTACTGTGATTAGATTTACTGTGAACTTTAGATTATGTACGTAGCAGCAGCACAGTACATTTGGTCTTTCCCGTCTCTCCCTGGTTGCCCACTGTGCCCTGGAGTGCCTGGCACTCCTCCCATCCACATGGCACAAGGTTGCCGGTCGTCAGGCGGGCCAACTTCTGTCCCAGGACCCTCGGGCTCTGCCACTTCCTCCGCTGCCGCCTCGTCATTTTCTGCAGCCGCCTCCTCGGCTGGTTCCTCTACTCCATCTTCCTCCTGAGCCAGGCTCAAGTCCCCGGCCAGGATCAGCCTCAAAAGCAGGCTCCCCAACAAATTCATGGCTCTTTCTATATAACCCCTCAACCTTTGACACTAATGGAACAATGAACAAAAACACACAGGTTAGTCTGTGATCTCTCACTTTGGGCCAAGGCAACGCCCCCCATACCCAAGGCAAGGATTCGTAAATACACTGAACAGAAATATAAACGCAACATGTAAAGTGTTGGTCCCATGTTTCATGAGCTGAAATAAAAGATCCCAGAAATTTTGCATATACACAAAATGCTTATTTTGCTCAAGTTTTGTGCACACATTTATTTACATTCCTGTTAGTGAGCATTTCTCCTCTGCCAAGATAATCCATCCACCTGACAACTGATTAAACAGCATGATTGTTACACAGGTGCACCTTGTGCTGGGGACAATAAAAGGCCACTCTAAAATGTGCAGTTTTGTCACACAACACAATGCCACAGATGTCTGAAGTTTTGAGGGAGCGTGCATTTGGCATGATGGACGCCCACCAGAGCTGTTGCCAGAGAATTGTATGTTAATTTCTCTACCATAAGCCACCTCCAATGTCGTTTTAAAGAATTTGGCAGTAACCACGCCAGCCCAGGACCTCCACATCCGGCTTCTTCACCTGCGGGATCATCTGAGACCAGCCACCCGGACAATTGATAATTCTGTGGGTTTGCACAACCAATTTCTGCACAAACTGTCAGAAACCGTCTCAGCGAAGCTCATCTGCGAGCTTGTCGACCTCACCAGGGTCTTGACCTGACTGCAGTTCGGCATCGTAACCGACTTCAGTGGGCAAATTCTCACCTTCGATGGCCACTGGCACACTGGAGAAGTGTGCGTTTCACAGACGAATCCGAGTTTCAACTGTACCAGGCAGATGGCAGACAGCGGCGTCATGTGGGCGAGCGGTTTGCTGATGTCAACATTGTGAATAGAGTGCCCCATGGTGGCGGTGGGGTTATGGTATGGGCAGGCATAAGCTATGGACAACGAACACAATTGCGTTTTATCGATGGCAATTTGAATGCACAGAGATACCGTGATGAGATCCTGAGGCCCATTGTCGTGCCATTCATCCGCCGCCATCACCTCATGTTTCAGCATGATAATGCACGGCCCCATGTCGCAAGGATCTGTACACAGTTCCTGGAAGCTGAAAATGTCCCAATTCTTCCATGGCCTGGATACTCACCAGACGTCACCCATAGAGCATGTATGAGATGGTCTGGATCAACGTGTACGACCGCGTGTTCCAGTTCCCGCCAATATCCAGCAACTTCGCACGGCCACTGAAGATGAGTGGGACTCCATTCCACAGGCCACAATCAACAGCCTGATCAACTCTATGCAAAGGTAATGTGTCGCGCTGAATGATGCAAATGGTGGTCACACCAGATACTGACTGGTTTTCTGATTCACGCCCCTACCTTTTAAAAAAAGGTATCTGTGACCAACAGATGCATATCTGTATTCCCAGTCGTGACCAATGTGACCAACATATGCATATCTGTATTCCCAGTCGTGAAATCCATAGATTAGGGCCTAATTAAATTATTTCAATTGACTTATGAACTGTAACTCAGTAAAATCTTTGAAATTGTTGCATGTTGTGTTTATGTTTTTGTTCAGTGTTTATTTCAGTTTCCCTGAGAGTGAGTGCTTGTAAATGGATATTGGATAAGGAGAAAAGTTCCAGCTTCAGTATCTAGTTACAGTGGGGAAAAAAAGTATTTAGTCAGCCACCAATTGTACAAGTTCTCCCACTTAAAAAGATGAGAGAGGCCTGTAATTTTCATCATAGGTACACGTCAACTATGACAGACAAATTGAGGGAAAAAAATCCAGAAAATCCCATTGTAGGATTTTTAATGAATTTATTTGCAAATTATGGTGGAAAATAAGTATTTGGTCACCTACAAACAAGCAAGATTTCTGGCTCTCACAGACCTGTAACTTCTTCTTTCAGAGGCTCCTCTGTCCTCCACTCGTTACCTGTATTAATGGCACCTGTTTGAACTTGTTATCAGTATAAAATACACCTGTCCACAACCTCAAACAGTCACACTCCAAACTTCACAATGGCCAAGACCAAAGAGCTGTCAAAGGACACCAAAAACAAAATTGTAGACCTGCACCAGGTTGGGAAGACTGAATCTGCAATAGGTAAGCAGCTTGGTTTGAAGAAATCAACTGTGGGAGCAATTATTAGGAAATGGAAGACATACAAGACCACTGATAATCTCCCTCGATCTGGGGCTCCACGCAAGATCTCACCCCGTGGGGTCAAAATGATCACAAGAACGGTGAGCAAAAATCCCAGAACCACACGGGGGGACCTAGTGAATGACCTGCAGAGAGCTGGGACCAAAGTAACAAAGCCAACCATCAGTAACACACTACGCCGCCAGGGACTCAAATCCTGCAGTGCGAGACGTGTCCCCCTGCTTAAGCCAGTACATGTCCAGGCCCGTCTGAAGTGCATTTGGATGATCCAGAAGAGGATTGGGAGAATGTCATATGGTCAGATGAAACCAAAATATAACTTTTTGGTAAAAACTCAACTCGTCATGTTTGGAGGACAAAGAATGTTGAGTTGCATCCAAAGAACACCATACCTACTGTGAAGCATGGGGTTGGAAACATCATGCTTTGGGGCTGTTTTTCTGCAAAGGGACCAGGACGACTGATCCGTGTAAAGGAAAGAATGAATGGGGCCATGTATCGTGAGATTTTGAGTGAAACCCTCCTTCCATCAGCAAGGGCATTGAAGATGAAACGTGGCTGGGTCTTTCAGCATGACAATGATCCCAAACACACCGCCCGGGCAACGAAGGAGTGGCTTCGTAAGAAGCATTTCAAAGTCCTGGAGTGGCCTAGCCAGTCTCCAGATCTCAACCCCATAGAAAATCTTTGGAGGGAGTTGAAAGTCTGTGTTGCCCAGCGACAGCCCCAAAACATCACTGCTCTAGAGGAGATCTGCATGGAGGAATGGGCCAAAATACCAGCAACAGTGTGTGAAAACCTTGTGAAGACTTACAGAAAACGTTTGACCTGTGTCATTGCCAACAAAGGGTATATAACAAAGTATTGAGAAACTTTTGTTATTGACCAAATACTTATTTTCCACCATCATATGCCAATAAATTCATTAAAAATCCTACAACGTGATTTTCTGGATTTTTTTTTCTCATTTTGTCTGTCATAGTTGACGTGTACCTATGATGAAAATTACAGGCCTCTCTCATCTTTTTAAGTGGGAGAACTTGCACAATTGGTGGCTGACTAAATACTTTTTTTCCCCACTGTAAAACTGTATGACATACTGAGATAGACCTATCTGATAGTTAGTGAGTTCATCTGCAAAGTGCTTGCTTTGAGCTAGGGACGTGTATAGTGTTGAGATATAGCTTTACTGTATAACTTATTAACTTTTTGTGTGGGTGTGAAGGGGGTTGTATGATGGAGTGTTATTCTCACTTGATTCTATGTAATTATGTATTTATGTGGAAGCAGCAGCCTCCATTGTCCAAGTCAAATTTCCCTTCGGGGACAATGAAGTACATCATATCTTTTGAGGTATGTCACTGTAATCTGACCCATCTTTGACCTCTGACCATTTTATGATTGACGTTATTATGACATCATTGAACACCTCTGAGGCATGGTAAAACAAATATAATTTTGTTTACGTCTGCTACATGGACGCTAGACAAAACATTTTGTTTGGACATTTGAGTCGCTAATTGCCATCTGTGAAACATATCATCCCAGAGCACAAGACCGCTATTGTAAGGCACATGCTGTATTGCCCTGACTGGTTTTGTGCCAGGTACTTAATGTCTAAATGAAAGACACCGTTACAGTTAAGAGGCTATTGAACTGAAAGCCATACAGAATGTAATTCATATCATGCTCTTGGTTAAAGTCATTAATCAGCAGAGATACACAACAACAGCCAAGAAAAACATTCCATTAAAGTTGTATAAATCATGATTAAATTCCAAAATATCATTCAGAAATGATTTGATCTAAATGTTTTAACATTATTATAGTATTAAAGCATGTTTTGTCTTGATATGTCAGGCTGTCAGGTACATTTTCTAAAGGCTTGGTGGCATCGCCCTATAGAGTGAATAGGTAAGGCATTGCCCTGCGTACCTTCAATGTGTAAATATATCGAATAAAAATATAAAACACAACATGCAACAATTTCAAAGATTTTACTGAATTAGAGTTCATATAAGGAAATCAGTCAATTGAAATAAGTTAAATTAGGCACTAATCTATGGATTTCACACAACTGGGAATACAGATATGCATCTGTTGGTCACAGATACCTTAAAAATAAAAGTAGGGGTGTGGATCAGAAAACCAGTCAGTATCTGGTGTTACCACCATTTGCCTCATGCAGCGCGACACATCTCCTTCGCATAGAGTTGATCAGGCTGTTGATTGTGGCCTGTGGAATGTTGTCCCACTCCTCTTCAGTGGCTGTGCGAAGTTGCTGGATATTGGCGGGAACTGGAACACGCTGTCTTACACATCAATCCAGAGCATCCCAAACATGCTCAATGGGTGACATGTCTGGTGAGTATGCAGGCCATGGAAGAACTGGGACATTTTCAGCTTCCAGAAATTGTGTATAGATCCTTGTGTATGTTCGTTGTCCATAACTTATGCCTGCCCATACCATAACCCCACCGCCACCATGTAGCACTCTGTTCACAACGTTGACATCAGCAAACCGCTCACCCAAACGACGCCAAACACGTGGTCTGCGGTTGTGAGGCCGGTTGGACGTACTGCCAAATTCTCTAAAACAACATTGGAGGCGGCTTATGGTTGAGAAATGAACATGCAATTCTCTGGTGGACATTCCTGCAGTCAGCATGCCAATTGCATGCTCCCTCAAAACTTCAAGCTGTTTAATCGGCTTCTTGATATGCCACACCTGTCAGGTGGATGGATTACAGTGGGGAAAAAAAGTATTTAGTCAGCCACCAATTGTGCAAGTTCTCCCACTTAAAAAGATG